TAGATTTTTTCTCTGAAAAAAAGGTAAAAATCCTTCCAACAAAGTCTCATGTTGATCCATGCAATGCTAATACAATCTCTTACAGATATCTCTCAAAATTTCCTCACCAATCTCTCAATATACATTTTTTACTCCTTTATGACTCGGTCTTCCTGGAGAATTTCAGGACTTAGAAATGCCAAAATGTGTTTTTGCAAATGTCTAGATACATCAAATAACTCATTGTGGCGTTCAAAAACTACCACTAGACAGTTCGGGCGCCTAAGCGCTAGTTTGCGGAGCCTAGACGCCGTCTTCTCTATTTTCTAGGCGGAGCCTGGCGCCTCAATCTGTGGCGCTTAGGCGCCACCTTGCTGATAACACCCTCATTTGCTTCCTTTTGCTTCTGTTTTGCCCCGTTTCAGCTTCAATACGCTTCAAGTGTTATACCTGCAAGATAAACATGAACTAATCATTCTTTAAAGTACAATTTCATTAAAAAATATGTGATAAATATAAAGGAAATAAAACATAAAAAACATATCAAAACCCTCCAAACTTAAACATTACTTGTTCTTAAGTAACACTATAACTTTAAAAACTAAATTTGCTAATTTTAGGCAGTGGGTTACATTAGATTTTCCAATAATTTTATCTCAAAAATGTTATAGTGCAAATTAGAAGAGATTCTACCAAATCAACCTAGGACTAGGGTATAAGAATATCTCATATTCAACTTATGAATTCTGATTTTCTTTTTGCTTCAAAAGTTATTGAAATTCTTAAAATTAAAGACTCTTAGAAAATTAAAATAAAAAATTTAAGTACCCTATCAAATACCAATTTGATTAATATTTTTTTAAAACAAAAAAATAAGCTTATGATTTTTTTTAAGTCTTTCTTTTAAAATATTCAAGTGAAACTAATTTTTTATTAGACTTCTTCTCAAGTTTTTTCTCATTTTTCATTTTTTTATTATTATTTTTATTTTTTAGGATCTTTTTTCAATCTTTTATATTTTCATGTGAGGATTACTATATATAGATAGACCTTATAGATAGACCTTTAATAGTTTAGATAGACCTTTAATAGTTTTGAATTTCATTATCCTCTTTCTATAGTCAAAAAACTCGAAACTTTCCCTCATTTTTTAAAAGTGTAAGTATTAGTTTAAAAAAAAATTCAATATCATAAAGTGTAAATTTATAAATCTTCGCTTTTCAAATATTCAAATCCTTTCTACTATAAATAACAAAATCATTTTCCTAATATTTTTTACAAAATATCTTAGCCCTAGAACAGTTTTCTTCACATAAGATCCCAACTAAATTTTTTCCTACATTTCTAAAATCAAAATTATAATAAATTAAAGATAACACCACATACCACAAGCTATTTTAAAAGTGATATCAAATTAAATACAGGCTACTGATGACAAATAAAATTAAGTTTTAAAAATATTTTTCTTCCCCCCAAATTTGATTTTTAACATGTATAATATTTAGTACAGAAAATATAAACTGGAAGAAAAATAACTCAGAAATTCTGTCTACCGTAAATGTCTATTAAAAACATCTACAAGTATTCATCAGGATAGAATAATGTGCAACAGAAAATAAATCTAAACTAAAATATGTTCAATGAAATTAAACTAAGGAAAAATCTGACTAGCACAACAGGTATCAACATAGGAATATTATTTTAATGTTCCTCAAGTCCTCTATACTATTGTAACACATACACAAACATCAATACATAAGTGAGATCATGTCTTCCTCCATCTCATCACACCTTTCTTTATTTCCAATTCTAATGGAATCACTTGGTCAATTGGGTACTTTTAAGTGGCTTTTTAGGGTCCAACTCCATGGACATAACTATCCCTGATGTATTGGTTCACGAGCACTAACCTTAGGCATCATTTTATCCCTTTATGTTTGCACCTCTAACAGTTATAAGGGCAATGTATGATCGTCCTCAGGTTATTCAACTGGCTTATTGAATCATATTGAAGAAAACAAGGTCAAATATATGTCCAAACTCATCATGTCTCCAGTTAATCCTCAAGTCTGGTTTAAAATTGAGTCATAATGTATTCGTTAATTCAACTACTACCAGAAGACAAATATAAGTTTAGTCATAACGAGAAGTTAAGGAATCACCTCACTCATGACACACAAAGATCAAATCAATCCACTAACATTCCAAACATTCACCAACACCAATCAAATTGATCAATCCACACTAAAACAAGCACATCACACATCAAACAATTACAACTCACAATAACACTAACGCAGATAATCTATGGGTTGCCTCCCACGAAGCACTTGTTTTTCAGCCCGACGAATCCCATGATTATACATATTTCACTTGCTCACTTCTTTTCTCCTTAGGGTTTTCTAGTCCTCCTAAATGTTTTTTCTAGTTCTGAGTCGTATAGTTCAAGGTCTGTACTAATAATAAATAAACACATTAGATAATAACATTACAATTTTTAAATCAAGTCTTTCAGGTTCAACTAAAATTCTCCTAAAGTTCTTCCGTAGCTTCCTCGCCAATGACACCAAAAACTTGAATTGATCCGCAGTTACACAGTTATTTTGTTTCTTGACCAAAAACTTGACCCAGTTTCTTCAGGCGGCTAGTGTGCAAAATAGATATGTTATAGAGTTTAAAATTTGATTTATAGTTTGCACACTAGGGGTTCTTCGCAAGTATACCTATCGTTCAAGTAATATAAGACTCTAATGAAGTCTCAATTATCGATTCCACAGAGAAGCGAGACAATAAATCCCTTAGGCTAAGTTCTAGCTATTATTATCAAGTCTTAGTTTGGAATGTCGATAAATGGTGTTTTTTAATAATAACTCCTAAATACAAACCTAAATCTAAAGTTAAACCTAATTATATAAATTATTCTGGTGCATTTTGAGGTGTAAAAACTAACCTTTTATTGTGGTGATCTAGATAATATATATGAATGAGATGCTTAGAATCTAATGTGGTAAGCGAAAGTAGGAGCAAAAATCTAAGTTACCATCTTCCGAGTGTATAATGTAGCTCAACTAACCTAAGGTCGATTCCTTATTGTAACTAGATTATCACGACGAATTTTCTAGCCTATCACCCTAGAGTCTCGTCCTAATATCCCTCTAATTGGCTTAATCTTAGATTTAAGGTACGAAGCCCTAGATCAATTTGGTTAGAAATCTAACCTGTCACCCTAGAAAAACCAATTTGCAACCATCAACGAATTCTCCCTAACATTACATTGAATCTTATAACTACTTTTCCTTCACTCATAAGTTTAATGTGGTTCTCCTAGTTGTTAAAGCCATAACCCTCCTGAAACTTATGAGTTTATAGTAAAATTTAACATACCAATTGGCTAGATTGATTATTAAATGAAGCATGAAATAAGAACCATCAGTATGGTATGAAAAACATATTATAACATGCATCCTAACATCCTAACCATTCATCAAATTCATTGCAAAAGAAAAGTACAAGAATTCTATTTCACAGAGCAAGCGTCACACAGAACATAAAACTTTATTAAATCAAAGCAAATCTCCTGGATAAGTGTTTACAACAAGTACAAAATAATGAGAAACACAATACTTAACTTTTTCTCTCTTAAAAAATGCCGAAAATCTCTCCAACAAAGTATCTTGTTGATCCATGCAATGCTAATATAATCCCTTACAAATATGTCTCAAATCCCCTCACCAATTTCTCCAGAAAAGGTAAAAATCCACATTTTCTATTCTCTACGACCTCTCGGCCTTCCTGGAGAATTCTAGGACTAAGAAATGCCAAATGTTTGGATCCGTCAAATAGCTCCTTGGGGCGTGCAGAAACCGCCCCTGGATAGTTTTGGCTTCTAGGTGCTTGTCTGCGGTGCCTAGGCGCCGTCTTCTCTGTTTTCTGGGTGGAGATTGGCGCCTAGGAGCCACCTTCTGGCAACACTCCCATTTGCTCCCATTTGCCTCTATTTCGCTCTGTTTCAGCTCCATTCCGCTCCAAGTGTCATATTTGCAAGATAAACATGAAAATAGTCTTTCTTTAAAGTACAATTTCATTCAAAAATATGTGATTGATATAAAGAAAATTAAGCATAAAAACGACATATCAAGGATTGCAATTGAAAATAAGAATAAAACTAATAAAAGTCTTTCTTTTATCAAATAGAAGATGCCTTAAATGACATTATGGTGACAAGGATAACTTTCTACCTGATGCTGACATAAGTTCTGAGCCATTCTTGGAAAGAACAAAGAATGCAATTGATTCTTCAGGATTACTGTCATTTGTTTCATTTGCAATGAGTAATCCGTTCGGAGGTTGCCATGACTGCAGCAATTACATTTGGTTAAACTTGGGGTGGAAAAAAGATAAAAATATTGATATAAAGTTGAAGTTAAACTTAATTTGTGGGGATTAAAAAGTATCTATTAAAAGGGTGCTCTATAAGTGAGTGCACAAATCACTTGCTCCGTTGGGCAGCGGCGACGAATAGTCTTGGTAGAGCCGAAATTGCTTCGGGATTTTCCTTGTAATTATGCATTACCATGATGCTGATATGCTCAATTCTTTGTGCATTTAACAGCACTTGTATGGTTTATTTCCATAACAAAATAATTCAATATTATCATTATCTTGCTACCCTCTCTAAAACCTCTTTTTCATCTTTGTGTACTATTCCATTATTTTGGTTATCTTTTTTCTTCAATTAAGTGTGGTTTATTTAATTTGCTTTCGAATCTTGGGGAAATTTTCTGGGTTAGTAACTGATGCCTTACATAAGATTTATCACTCCCCACCCCTGAAGGAGGACTATGACGATGTCAAACAGCTTTTCCTGAAATTTTTTTTTAACGGGAATTGATTTAGTGATATTTTTCATCTGATGTTTGTTTTATTAAACTCAAATTGTCATGATTTCCCTGCTTATGATTCTTGCTAAACCTTTTTCATTTCTTCAAGTGAAGTGATTTTTCTGCTTTGTTTATTTGCAGATTTTGTGCCTCATATATACTAATTCTGGATTGGATGTACTTGCTCTTGCCTCTAATGCAGTCCATAAGCTGTGGAAATGGCAATGTGGTGAACAAAATCCATCTGGCGAGGTTAGCAGTTGAAACTAGTGTCTGCTTTGTATGATTTGCAAATCCCTTATGATGTTTCATTAGCTTTATGGCCTCCTTAACATGGAATACTGTTCTGTACTACATTATTTTGTTAGTCGACTGCATCTGTGGTGCCTCAGTTGTCGCAACCACCGAATGGATTACCTATGACAAATGAAACAAAGGACATCAATCCTGAAGAATCAAGTGCATGCTTTGCTTTGTCCAAAAATGACTCTTATGTTGTGTCAGCATCTGGTGGAAAGGTCACCTTGTTCAACATAAAGTCATTTAAGGTATTTTTTACTTGACACAAATCAGATTATTGCCTGTTTTATTCTAATTTTCAATTGCACTCGTAAAATTTGTTCGAGTGGCTCTGCTTGTATACCCATGACCCTCTCCTGCCCTAAATCTTACTTCCCCAACCCCAATTGTCTTTTATTTACAGGTTAGTAATTAATTAGCTTGTCAGGTTATCACAACATTCACAGATCCACCTCCTGCAGCAACTTCTCTGGCATTCCATCCTCTAGACAATAATATTATCGCAGTAGGAATGGAGGATTCCTCAATTCAAATATACAATGTCTTGATAGATAAGGTAATTATCTTCTGTATGCATTACAATCCTGTGAAAGATCTCCACTTTCTACCTTTTTCATTTTTCAAGTAACATATGAATCCACTTATGAAATTAAATTGCATTTTACAACTTGTATAAAACAGCTTGCTTGCATTGTAAAAGTTTCTTTTCCTTCCTTTTTTTTTCACTATAGCTATAAAGGTATGGCATTGTTTGTTACTGTTACTGACAAGAGGCATCCTTAAAGTAGTTAATTTTACTAGCATTTAAAAGAATTTTCGATTCTAGGATTGCCGGTACAAACTACATAGTCAATATTTTTTCTAGTTGTTTGACTAGGGGGTAGGCATGCAAATAGATGGTGCTGCATGTGCATATTCAAATACAAATTACAGAGATGCTTATCGTGTTCATTCACACACTTATTTTATTTCCTGCACGTTGTGTGCCTCTATTTTTGCTTGTATTCAAATACAAATTACAGAGATGCTTATCGTGTTCATTCACACACTTATTTTATTTCCTGCACGTTGTGTGCCACTATTTTTGCTTGTATAAAATTGCTCATGTCAATCAAATATTTGGATTTCTCATTTCTATATTTTCTGTATGAAAGATAACCAATTTTTTTAAGAAATATGTGCTGCTAAATCATCTTTTTTATTTGAATATTGATTTGTTGAATTTTACTCTTCTCGGTTATGTCTGGAAGTTGTGTATGTTGATAAGCTTTACTTTTATGACATTCATTTTGGCATGTCTTTGGATATGCCATTATAAACAGCTGACAGAGAAAGACCCATCAAAGCTTATTTGTACATTTAGAAGAAATGAATGCTTTGGTAAAAATCTTGTTTCTTTCATTCATGAGTTGGGCTTCTATAAAGCCTTACAATCTGTGATAAATAACCCCTAGACTTCTATATTTCCTATTTACAATTTGAACTCTAAAAAAAGATACAAATCTTAACACCACCCATCAAAATGGGCAACAAATATCCACTAAGCCCATCTTGTCACATAATCTAGACAAATCTAATGAGCTGTCCTTTGGTGCTTGAGCTGTCCTTTGGTGAGGCAGTCAGCCACTTGCTCTCCAAGGGCCACATGACCCAGCTCCAGTTGTCCGTTATTCAGTTTTTCCTTGGTGAAGAACCCATTGATCTCTACATGTTTGGTTTTATCGTGTTTCATCGGGTTGTTGGCAATACTGATTGCTGACTTTTTGTCACACCATAACCACCTTGAGCTCTAACAATAAGACTCTCAACCACATCATCTCGAAAACTCCTAAGGTCATGACCCTGTAATCTGCCTTTGTTGTTGACCTCGTTACTATCGACTTTTTCTGGTTCTTTCAAGAGAGCTTGTTGTCCCTAGGAACATGCACTATCCTGATGTGGATCATTTGTTATCAGCACAACTCGTTCAGTTAGAGTCATGGAATCCCTCAATGCCTACATGCCCACTACTCTTCAGTTACTTCAGAACCTGATACTGCGTCCATATGACTCTTTTTTGGATCATGAATATAGTGGCTCATCACGCTCAGTGCAAATGAGATGTTGGGATGCGCATGACTCACATAAATCAGACGATTCACCAATATTTGGTATCTCTCACAATTAACTGGCTCTACTGCCTCTACACTCAACTTGGCCTTCTGATTAGTTGGAGAGTGCAGGCTTGTATCCCAACGTGCTTATTTTTGTGAGGAGATCTAGTATATACTTTTTATGGGACAAAACAATCCCATTTGGTCTACTGGCCATCTCAGTCCCAATTATATGAGCTGTCCAAGGTCCTTCACATCAAATTCTTTGCCCAATCTTACATTTAGTTAAGCAATCTCTGTCTCATCATCACTAATAATAATTATGTCATCAACATAAATAACAAGCATGGTGATGTGACCACCATTTTTACGAAAGAAGACCGTATGGTCGGCATTGATCGGCTGATATTTCATGCCCACCATAGATTTCAAAGCTTGTCAAATTAGGCTTGAGGAGATTGTTTCAAGCCATAAAGCGAGTTTCTGAGCCTACACACCTTGCCCACTGCCTGAGCTGTACCGAATCCTAATGTTATTTTCATATACATCTCCTGTAACTCACCATGAAGAAAAATATTATTCACATCTAGTTAGTGTGTGACCTCTACCCATCATTTACAGTTAGAGTAACCAGTGTCCTCACTGTGCTCATCTTGCTACCGGTGGAAAGGTCTCGTCATAGTTAATGCTATATGTCTGACTGCACTCTTTCGCCACCAATCTTGACTTGCGGCGCACCGCTTTCTCTCTTGGTTTTAGTTGTACTGTGAAGAGAGGTCATCCTTAAAGCCATAAGAGTGGGAGGAGAAGGATCACCTAAGTAATCGGATTGTGAAGTGAATGGTGTAGGTGTCTCAAGAGTTGGGATAGATCGAGATAAGGGACTTGATGGCACGAGGGACACGACAGGTATTGTTCCATATTTCTGCCTCTTTATATTCACTCTCAACTCTCCTTGAGCTTTAATCCCCTCCAAATTTGGGCTCATTTTCCTCATTTTTCGGCTCTTCCTCAGTTGATCCTTCCCACACAATGGGATAAAGCATCGTTCCCACATGTACCAATCTCCGACCATCACTACTCTCCCCCTCAATTCTCATACCTCTAGTATTTGGTGAGTCACCAAAGGGTGAGGTCACCTCCAGGGTGTAGTACGGTTCGAGTTTTCTAAAGAACGTGTACTTGCTGACAAATAGTCCCTTCTCTATCAAACCAACAAACATATCCTTTTTGGGTAGCAGAATAACCCACGAAAGCATACTTCATAGCTCTAGGATCTAGCTTCTCTACCAATGATTTGTTGTCTTTCACAAAACATGCACAGTTAAAAACTTTTAATGTGAGGATTCTACTATTATCTCCCCTCAACATGTGATAAGGAAACTTCAAATCCAACACTCTTGAGGTCATTTGATCAATTAAGCCGCTGTTAAAACCGCTTGCTCCTGCAAGTGCTTTGGGACATTCATCATGACCATCATGCTTTGCGCTACCTCTAGAAGGTGTTTATTCTTCCTTCTTTTCACTTCATTTTGTTCCGGTGTATATGAACATGTAGTTTGATGTTGTATCCCTTGGATTGATATGTATTTCCCAAACGCCTTGTTAGTATACTCTATCTCATTATCAAACCTCAATACCTTCCTTATTGCACTGTATTAGGTCTGAATCGCTTTCTGAAAGTCTTTAAAGCAGACAAACACATTACTTTAATTTTTTATCAGATATAATCAAGTAACACGAGAAAAAATATTCAATGAAAGTCACAAAATATTTGTAATCATTCATCGAAGTTGTTGAATAAGGTCCTCATATATCTGAATGCACCAAATAAAAAACACAAGCAATTCTTTTACCAGAACTAACACAAGAGCTCCTGATATGCTTACTAAACTCATAAATATACAAACAAGTTTTCTTTTATTTTCCCTTACATACAATGATGGATATAAATGACTCATTTGACTAAACAAAGAGTGTCACATGTGACTGTGATGTAGCATCAACACATCCTCCACATTTGTCTTAGATTCTCATGCTCCAAAACTTTCTACCATGAATGTCTAGGCTTAGTCCATCTCTTCTCTATCCAAATACTAGAGTCCATTGTGCCACGTGCCAATCCAAAGTCTCCAACCAGTTCCCTTCTCGTAAAAGATCTCCTTTGGAATATCAAATAAAGTAACAAATTTTAGTTGTAGTATAATGACACTTATAGATAAAATGCTCATTGGAAAGGAAAGAGCAAACAAAACATAGTAGTTATGGAATTTGTACACCTCACTGTATCACACCAATCACAAGCTGTGTTGTATCGACAGCGGTCTGAATACTTTTTGGAACAATTAGGTGAGTATAAGAAGAGATCTCACTAGAGACACTCACATGTTGAGTTGCACCGGAATCTACAATCTATTTTAGTGATCTTGTAGTGAATATAGAGGCAAGAGCATATATATCACAAGTACATTTTTTGAGTGAGCATAAATAGCAGTGTTCCACTTGGATGACGATAAGATGGATGCATTCTCAGTCACATCACCTGCTGCTTTCTGCTTCCTCTTCAACATTTTTAATAACTCATGATTCTCATTGGTAAAGACAATCCCGATCTTTCCCTTTTTCTCTGCTACCATCAGATTTATCCAGTAGCCCCCTCTTTTACCTCTTTGGTCCCCACGAGTACGACCACGACTCTAGCCTATTCACGTCCCCCGTCCCTCTCTCCTTGGATGGCGTTGGACAAGCCTTTCCCAAGTGTCCCACTTCACCATGGTTATAACACCTGCGGGTCTTTCTTTGGGCACCTGTAATATCTGAGCTCAAGGCAGCCAAAACTGATCGTGTATCTGAAAGTCCACTCAGCTCAAAGTGTAGTCTGAAGCGGCTCTCTTTTATTATCATGGTGATGGCCTCATTCATTGAAGGAATCGTTGCCTGGGCTAGGTGGACATATCTCCTTTGATCAAAGAGTGGGTTTAGATGAGCCAGAAACTGCATGGTCTTCAGTTGTGCAAAGATCTCCTTGCACCTTAGATTACCATAGCTCATCATAGGTGAGAAGTGATCAGGATCTTGCCACAACCGCTTCAACTCTATGGAGTATTCTTAAATCGATTTATCACCCCGTATCACTGCCTCTATGCCACACTGAATCTGGAACACTCTCATGTGGTTCTCAGCTCCAGCATAAGTCCTCTTCAGCTTTGCTCAGCTGTTTTTCACCTTTTGAATACCATTAACAGAAGAGGCAACAATCAATCAAGCCATTGAGTTGAGTAGCCAGATATAAATCAAGGAGTGTGTGGTTCTCCTATCATCCCTATTCAGTACTGTCACTCTTTGGCTCGACTCCTGTCAGGTATCCCTCTAGCCTCTTCCCTACTTAAGCAACCTCAATCAGATGCGACCAACTTAGATACGTGGTCGGTTTATCGAGCTAAGGATCCATAGGAGGGAGATCTAACTTCACATGTCTAGGAACACGTGCCAAGGTCGTGGCTTTTATCGAGATATCAACTCCCTATATGATCCAAAACATGACCTTTAAAACTTCTGATCCATCTTCCCCAGAAGTTCCAATCTCTTATCTCGAGCACTATCTTCATCTATTGACATCCTTGATCACAAGTATCCAAGACTTAATCATACAGATGACACGTGGATTTTATCTGAATAGTGGCCTCGCCGGTTGGTATGTTGGCCAACTTTGTTAGCTCTAATTGCAATTGTATCGTGATTGTTAAGTGCAAGAAGGAGAAAAAAGTGGGAGTTTCGGGTCTATGTACGTTGCAATCCTATTGTTTCCTTCCCTGTTAGCTACATTTGCGACTATATCACAAGGGTGAAGTGGAAGGAAGAGTCGGAAAATGCAAGTTTCGGGCCTCTATACTTCACGATCCCATTGCATAATCCCGCCGTTGACTTTCACATTGCAATCCAGCCATTGCCTTTCACGCCGCAACCCCGCTATTGCCATCTCAGCTAGCCCACGATAGAAATTCCCGTTGTTTTCTTCTCAACTAGCTTGAGATCGAGGCAAGGCGACACAAGGCAACTGCGATACCTCTTTCATACATCGCGCGGGTCTCTAGATCACTTATCCCAACTCATGAGATCGAGGAGCAGTGACGGCAGCTAGGTTAGGGTACCATGAAGAAATGAATGTTTTGGTAAAAATCTTGTTTTCTTCATTTATGAGTTGGACTTTTATAGAACCTTACATGCTTTTTACAAATAATCCCTAGACTTCTTTTGTATTCTCTATATACAATTAGAATCCTAAAAAAGGATACAAATCTCAACATCACATGCTGTAGGAATATATTACAGGAATTCAACATATACGCATTAGGATTAGACTAACTATTATAATGATTATTTGGATTATACTGAATCTTGAAATTTCTAGGTTAAAGTATGACGGAGAAGTGTATACGTTATAGAACTACATTAGGCAATATTTGATAATCTGCATGAGCTGAAAAGTAGAACATGAATTTGTTGAAATTATATATATATATATATATATCATTTGTCTCAACTAAGATGATTTTCTCTGCTTAGATGCAGGTTAAAATCAAGCTTCAAGGCCACCAGAAGAAAATTACCGGCCTTGCATTTTCACAGTCACTAAATGCTCTTGTCTCCTCAGCAGCAGATGCACAGGTGTGCAAAACATTAATGATGCTTGGGGTGGAATAGAAAAATATTGAAACGAGTCTAAAACTTAATCTTGATCTTAAATAAATCTGAGGTGATAATTCAAATCCTATTTGTAATAACAGTTATCTTGACGTGATAGATCTCATTGTATTGATCCTATAAAACTATTAGATTAAATGGTTTAGATTTGTCGTACCATTGTTTATAGATTGGTCATGGCAAGAATTCCTCTTGAATCATCTTCCATTTTTGAACTAGTGTCTCCTCCTAACATTTTTTGGCGATTGAAAATTGCCTGTTTCCGTATTTCAATATGCTTCTTACTTCTTCCAGTTGATGGTCTAAATATGGCAGATATGCATGTGGAGCATTGATGGATGGGACAAGAAGAAAGCCAGATACATTCAAACACCTGCTGGCCATGAAAGTCCATTAGCGGGGGATACCAGAGTTCAGTTCCATAACGATCAACATCTATTGGTTGTCCATGAAACCCAACTTTCCATCTACGACAGCCAGCTTGAGTGCCTGCGATCTGTTAGTTTCTTGATCTCTCTTACTTTTATTACTTTTACAAGTTGATTTTTCTTTCTCATTGCTCAGACAATCTTAAAAATATGCTTGCATTTTCAGACAGTGTATGTGATAATTTTTCTGAAAATTAGCCTCAATCCAGTGACTTGATCTACATTTAAAGAAATCTCGCTTGCCTTCTTTTGTACTCAGCATTAACTCCTCTGATGCAGTGGTCTCCTCGGGACCCTCTCCCTGCACCGATTTCTAGTGCTGTGTACTCTTGTGATGGTTTGTCAATATATGCTGGATTCTTTGACGGGGCAGTCGGCGTTTTTGATTCAGCTAGCCTTAGGCTCCATCGCCGGATAGCACCTTCTTCATATGCCACTTCTTCAATTGCAAGGTATTTATCATGCTTTCTATCTGTTGTAAATTGCATGTATGTTGAGATATGAACCTTATTTAGGGTCCTATTTGTAAAAAGAGAATGTTGAAGAAGTTTAGGATTTTATTTGTAAAACGTTATAATACCTTATTTAAGCCCATGTTATGAATGAACATATTAGGTTTTTGAACAATTCATTCTATTTCATATCAGAGCCAAACCCGGCTGTTGGGTCTCGACAGTAATACGAGAAATAGACGGGAGGTGGGCCTTTTGCGCTGTTATCCTGTAGTAATAGAGGCGAGCCTTTTTTTGCACTGCTGTACCGACAACTTGGTTTGTGGTAGAAAGATGAGAAAGGGACAAGTTTCGGTAGGCCCTCTATGCTGCAATCCCGACGGTTGGGTCGCGATAGGAAAATGATAAAGAGGATCGCCATTTTCAGACTGCAAAACCAACTAGCCTCGAACGATGACCAGCTACAGCGCCACCGAATAGAGAAACCCTAGGTCCGCTGCATCCTTGCCCATCCACAGAAATACATTGCTGCATCCACAGTTCGAGCGTAACGGCCTACTAAACTGAATCATGTGATCTAAACTTGGATTTATGTTCGAGGATGTAAGATGGAAATTGTTCAGGAGGTAAAGTGTTTGAGTTTCTGGGAAAGCTAAATCCTGAAGTTCTAAAGGACTTGGTCGGGCTCATCATACAGAGAGCTAGCGTCTTGATAGAAGCCACCATCTCAACACACATTCTAGATGCATGTGAAGTTAGATCTCCCTCCTTGATGGACTGGCCGCGTGTTTGAGTTGGTAACGTTAGATTGTGACTGCTCTAGTAAAGATGAGACTAGAGGGATATATGCTGGGAATCAAGGTTGAGCCAGAGGGTGACAGTGTTGAAAGGGATGAGTGGAGCAGCACACATGTCTTACTTTGCACCTGACTTCTTAACTCAATGGTTCCATTTATTGTCTCTTCAGTGGTGGCATTCGAAAGGCGAAGAATATCTGGGCAAAGCTGAAGAGAACCTATGTTGAGACTGAGATTCATAGGTGGGTGTTCTGGATTCAACTCGAGATAGAAGCAATGATACAAGGTGATAGATTAATTTAGGAATATGCTATAGAACTGGAGCGCTTGTGGGCAGATCTTGATCACTTCTCACCGATATTGAGCTATGACGATCCGAAGTGCAAGAATGGGGAGATCTTCACATAGATGATGACTATGTAGTTTTTGGCCCATCTAAATCTTGTAATTGATTAGAGAAGATTAGTCTTTCTAGCTTAGTCGACTAGCCCTTCACAAGATGAGGCCATTACTGCGATGATACGGGAGGAGAGTCGCATGAAGCTAAACTCTGAGCCGAATGGGCTTCGTGGCGTGTGATCAGTTATGACTGCCTCGAGCTCATGTATGATAGGTGTCCAGGGGGAAACTCGCAAGTGCTAAAACTGTGGTGAAGTTGATCATCTGAGCAAGACCTGTCCTAAGCCATCTATGGTGAGAGAGATAGGTGGATGTCGGTAGAGGCCGTGCTTATGGTCGTGGTGCTCCATAAGGTGAAAAAGGGGGCTATAGCAGAGGAAGAGGGAGAGATAAGTGAGTTTTTTATCAATGAGGATCACGAGTGTCTAGAAATGAAGAGGAAGAAGAAATCAACAGGAGATGTGCTTGAGGTTGATTCCAATCAATCATCATCATGGGATAATATTGTCACTTATGCTCACTCTATAAAGTTACTTGTGATACACATGATCTTGTCTCTATTTTTCACCATAGGATCTTAAAAATGAATATTAGATTATGGTGTATCTCGATATGCAACATTACTACTAGAGAATTTTCTTACTATACTCTACTAAGTCCTAGAGAGCATCCAGACGGCTGATAGTATAACACAGTCTGTAGTTGGTATGGGTGCACTGAGGGGTACCAATTATATGGCTTGTTCCAATGTGTTGCATGTTTTTTTTCATTGAATTTTTAATCCATTAGTGTTATTATTCTCCAACTAAAATGTGTTGTTTCATTTGATAGTCCTAAGATGATCTTCCAAGAGAAATAAATGTGTCAGACACTTGGGACTAAAATATAATATAGTGAACTCTAGTACTTGGACTGAGAGGGGATGACTCAACTTTGACATCCATGGTAGAGAATGTTGGAGTAGGAGAATCTGAGACAAATGTTGAGAGTGTGTTGCCGCTACATTACAGACGCATATGTCACTCTTGTTTTAGTTTATTAAGTCGTTTGTATCATTCTTTGTATGAAAAGATTAAAAAAAACAAAAACTTGTTTGTGATGCTTGTGAATTGGGCAAACTTACAAGGAACTCTTATATCAATTTTGGAAATATAAGTTATTTAGTTTTTGTTTTGATACATTATGATGTTTGGGCACATTGCTCTATAAGTTTTATGAATGATTATCGATATTTTGTGACCTTTATCAATTGCTTTTCTCGTGTTTCTTTCCTATATTTGATGAAAAATAATGGTGATGTGTTTATTTGCTTTATAGTCTTCCACAAGGCAATCCAAGCTCAACTTGGTGTAGTAGTGAAGACATTGAGGTCTGATAACAAGACAAAGTTTACCAATAAAGCATTTGGGGAATACTTGTTAGCCCAAAATATGCAGCATCAAACCGTATGTCCATACACACCGACCCAAAATAAAGTAGCTTAGAGGAAGAATAAACACCTTATAGAGGTAGCTCGGACCATGAAAATAACAAAGAATGTCCAAAAGTACTTATGGGGCAAACTATTTTGACAAATGCTTAATTGATCAACAGGATGCTCTCAAAGGTATTGAATTGGAAGTCTCCTTTATCAGATGTTGAATGGAGATAATAGCGGGATCCTTTCGTTGAATGTGTTTGGCTATGTTTTTTTTTTTTTAAATAACAGGGCATCCATATGAAAACTGGATCCCATATCTGAGAAATGTGTATTGATAAGTTATTCCACTACCTAGAGGGTTGTGTCTATTGAAGCCCAATGGAGAAGAGACTGTTTGTGAGCATGGATGTGTCATTTGAAGAATTTGAACCGCATTACACCCAAGAGATGACCTCACTTTTCAATAACTCACAAGATACTGTAGATAAAAGGCAAGCGGGATGACTAGCACTGGTGAGAGAATAACACATATAAGAGCAATGCCTTGTTCTGTGATGTGAGATGAATCAATTGGGGAACCAAAAAATAAGGAGAGTGAACCCAGATGTGGTGAGATTCAGGCTAAAGATGAGCTAAGGGTGTATATACAGAGAAGGAAGAAAAATGAAGGAACAATGCCTGTAGTGCCACTTTTGCCAGCAAGTTCCTTGCCCGATCTTTCCCAACTCTTGAAACATCTACACCATCCACCTCCGACTGAGAATCCACAGGTAATATGATTTCTCCTCCCTCTTCTCCCAACCCTATGACTTTAAAGTAGACCTCTCACAAAAATGTGGGAAATCCTCCCTGTCGTTATAAGTGGAAACATGATATTGCTAATTTTATTTCATATTCTAACATATCACATGTACATGGAGAATTCATTGTTTCGTTGGACAATGTCTATATACCCAAGTGTTGGTGGGTTGCTAAGGAGGATCCCAAGTAGAAAGAAATTTTGCATGAAGAGCTTGTGACTCTCGATAAAAAATGAACATGAGAGATAGTGCTAATACCAATGGGGAAAAAAGGCAGTTGGGTGCAAATGGATCTTCACAGTGAAACAAACTCCAGAAGTAAAGGTAGAGCGGTACAAAACATGACTATTGACGAAAGGGTATAATCAAACATATGACATTAACTATGACAAAACCTTTGCACCCGCAGCAAAGATTAGCATAGTAAGGGCATTGGCATCTCTGGCAGTGAGTGGTGGATGGAGGTTACACCAACTTGATGTGAAGAATGCATTTCTTCATGGTGAGTTACTGAAGGAGTTATATATGGAGATACCACTAAAATTTAATGCAATCCAGACAATGGGTAAGGTTTGTAGGCTAAGAAGTCATTGTATGACTTGAAGTGGTTTCATCAAGCTCGATTTGACAGATTTAGAAAGGCTATGTTGGACATGGTATATCAGCCGATCAATACAGATCACACTATGTTTTTTTTACAACATAAATGCCCCACCAATGTCCTCATTGTATCTGTTGATGAAATCATTGTTATCGGTGATGATGAAACAAAGATTGATCATCTAAAAATAAGATAGGGCAATGAATTTGAGGTGAAGGATCATGGATAGTTCAGATACTTTCTTGGGATTGAAGTGGCTCGTGAACCAGAGTGAATGGTCTTCTCCTAGAGAAATTATATACTAGATCTCCTCATGGAAACAAGCATACTGAGGTGCAAGCTTGCAGCTCTTCAATTAGCCTGAAGACCAAGCTAAGTGCAGAGGCAAAAGAATTGATTGATCGTAAGAGATATTAGATTGGCGGAACGTTTGTTCTATCTTTGTCACACTCGACTCGATATCTCTTTTGTAGTGAGTATTGAGCCGCTATATGCATGATCCAAAGAAGTGTCATATGAATGAAGTGTAACAGATTTTGAGGTACCTGATGAGTGCACCAGGGAAGGTTTGATCTTCTTGAAGGATCGACATATAAACATTGAGAGTTTTTATGACGTTGATGGGGTGAGCTGTGCAGATGACAAAAGATCCACCTCACGATATTGAATGTTTGTTAAAGGCAACTTGGTCTCTTGAAAGAGCATAAACAACCTATCGTATCGAGGTCAACAACAAAAGCAGAGTACAGGGTCATGGCCTTAGGAGTTGTCGAGATGATGTGGCAGAGAGCCTTATTGATCAAGTTCAAGCTGGATCAAGGAACCCAATGAACTTGTGGTGTGACAACAAATGAGCAATTAACATTGCCAACAACTCGGTACAATGTGATAGAATCAAACATGTGGAGATTGATAGATTCTTCATCCAGGAAAAGTTGAATGACGAGCTACTGAAGCCAAATCATGACGCCACTGGAGAGCAAGTGGCCGGCTACCTCACTAAAGGACTTGGTTCTTTAGATTTGTCTAGGTTATGTGACAAGATGGTCTTAGTGGATATCTTCTCCCCATCTTGAGGGGGTGTTGAGGATTGGACCCTTTTTAGTGTTATTGGTAGAAAGGGAAAATTGAAGAAGTTTAGGGGTTTATTTGTAAGTTGTTTGTAATACCATTTAAGCCCATGTTTTGACTGAAAATCTTTTTTGCGACTATTGCAAGAGGCACTGAAGGGGTGGGCTATACATAGATAAATATGATTTGAGGGAATGATTTGATAATTCATAGATAAACATGAATAAGCGTTGCATGCTACTTTGTGACACTTTCAGACCTATTTAGTGTTGAAAGTGACAAATTTTGAGGGAATGATTTGATAATTGCACGGCCTTTAATGATTGTCTGCACTTGTGGACAAATTTTGTCTTTGAGATTATCAACTTGAATTCCCTCGCGGACTTACATCACCACAAAAAATAAAATTCAAATATGATATCTACACCAAAATGCTTGCCAGCCCACAACCAAAAAAAAAAAAAAAAGAAAAAAAGAAGAGGACCTGCATCCCCACAGAAACAACCTTTCAGTTGCTGTTTTAACCTCTCTTCAAATATTACATTGACAAATATCATCTTCTATGATTGCTGCAAACATTATAAATTATGCTGACACATCTGTTTGCTGGGTGTGCAGTGCTGGATTGGTCTATCCTATCGTAGTCGCTGCTCACCCCTTAGAAGTAAACCAGATGGCGTTGGGCATGAGTGATGGAACGGTCTATGTGGTGGAGCCTTCGGACGTGGAGTCGAAGTCGGGAGGGCCAACCTCTCAGGAAAACGGTGCTCTTCCAGCCATGTCTTCCAACCCTTCTTTGAGCAACCAAGTATCTGATGCCCCCTCCAGGTGACACCAATGCCAGTTTTAGTTGAACATATTCCATCGGTAGAACTAATGTAACAGGTGCACAGTAGCTCAAGGGATCACAATTATTCTTTTTTTTCCCGTCTTAATCCCCAATAAAGTTACTTTTGCTTCTTTTCTATCACTAATTACGGATTACGTTCCATTCCTGTTAGGATTAGAGAAGGAAGATGATAGATATTTTCTTATAGTTTGTATAAATGAAGTATGCTGAACAGTATTTTCCTAGCATTTATTCCAAATTTAGCAATAAGAACAACGCCTGTGGCATCAATTGATAATTTGAGTGCTTATGTGGTGCAAGCCATATTGTCTTTCATTATTTTTAGTTCTCCTGATTATTGTTTCTTATTTAGGCGTATAAAGGCTGTGGATGTGCAATGAGGCTGAGATTGGCCTATTTTGACTTCGTAAATCCATCCTCGTAAGATCACTTTTGATCGTTTTTCTCCTCTTTGAGATATCTCCAGCCATTTGATGAAGATTAATTTTGATGATAAAAGCGTCACTATTTCTTTTTGTTTTGTTTTCCAATCATTTTGAAAGATATCCAATATATATATATACATACATACATATATATACATACATACATATATATACAAACATACATATATATACATACATATATACATACATACATACATATACATACATATATACATACATACATACATATATACGCAAAATTTTTAAAAAAAAAACTGATTTTCTATTTGTACATGGGGTAGTAATTCTATGATTACTTGCAACTTTAATAATTTCAATTGTTTTACGGAGAAGAAAGTGTTTCGATAATACAATTTTAAATCAGTTATATTTTTATTTTGCTATCATATGATTTTTACTTTCTTAGAAAATTGTGGTGCTAGATTTTTTTCTAAAATCAGAATTTGTACTTATAGTTGTAAAAAAATTGTTATTTAGAGAGAGAGAGAGAGAGTGTGTGTTTATAACCCTATTTTTTCATAATAATAATTACTTTTAGAACCTGTTGCCTCTGGGAAAATTTATTCAATACGGATATCATATGTAAAAATGCAAACAGTCCGATCTCCACCGTTCATCACAGCGAAGTTGAATGATGATGGGCTTTATTTTGAATTTTGTTTTTTAAAAAAAATGCTATGTTGGACGGTGGAGATCGGTGTCCGTATGGAATAATTTTTCTGCCTGTGGACGCGGCGATCTCGCCATTGTTGCTTTGTGGATCTTGTGTAGCATGAAGTTTGGATTGATAATGTTCATCTATTATTATGTTTAATCTCTAGTTTTAGAATGGTTTAGGATTTCTTTGGTGGGGAATTTATTTGTTTTTATGATTTTAGTCTTAATATCAGATAAAAAGTTATTAGCAGAATTATAAAATTGTGTACGAAAAAATATTGGTTGTGTTGGAAGATTTATGACGGTAGATTGATTAGTTAATGTCTTGGCATTGCGAAATTGTTTAGAATACAGTCAGATAATATAAGAGGTTGGGATATTCAAAGTTTTTACATGAAAAATTAGAAAGAGAAAAAGCATATGGTTCAAATCAGTTGAAATGATTCATTATGAGTTTGTGATTATAAATGTATGTATTTGTCCCACATGAGAGGAATAAATAGATAGTTCCTCAATATATAATTTCGTTGCACAATGACTGGGCGTGATTGCATTTGGTAGCAGCTATAAGACTTTTAGTACATTGTCTTCTAGGTGTGTTGTTGTGCAATGTTCGGGATGATATGTTACTTCATCTGTTTTCGTTAATTTGGAACGTGCGTTAGGATTCTGCAACATATGCCATGATTTCGTAAGGGGTTTTGTTGTAATGACTGGTTGGCGGTCGACGGTAGCCAGTAGATGCAAGAGCATGAAGCATTCATGAGTTCTTTGGTGTTGAACAACACTGAAATTTAGTTCTTTCGTGAATTGACTTTAGGTCTAGCTCCTATTCCGGTTTAAGGGCTAGGTCTCCTTTAATGAAAGAGGTAGGACTCTATTTATAGAGTTTGGGAGTGTCCTCTCTGCAAAATAGAAAGAATTTGACCATTCAATTGGACTATCTGAAGAGATTCTCCTGATGAGAATATGCTTTGTGAACATTTAAGTGCTTTCATAATTGAGTGATTTTGTGCTCGATGGATTTGTCTCATTAATACACTGATTTAACTATAAGCTTGTTAGAATTGGAATCCATAGGACTTCAATTGACCAACCAAATCATTCAAAAGTGGTATAATGGCTTGATCTAGGTGTGATTTGACTCGGATTAGATCAATTACGATGTAACTGTGTTCGTCTCATTAAGTCAGATAGTTTGACTATAATTTGTTGAAATTGGAGTTCTGGATGATTTTGAATTGGAGTTTGAGCATTTCATGGTAAAAAAAATGCTTAGAGATTCTTGCTAATTGGTCGAGATTTGCGCAAAATGATAAATTTGTTAATGGTGTATCAGTTGCACACGAAATTATGAGTGATTTTGTATGCTCATCTCAAATTTATTAGTTATGAAAATATGGTGGAACTTTTGAAAACAAATTAGAAAATTTTGACTTTCTTAATGGTGAGGCAACAGAAAACGGAGGCATATGGTGGAGGGGTGTCGATGAAAACAAGTTACTAGGGCTGTTGTGGAAGAACATGGGAGCACGATTCAGGTTGAAATGAATTAATGGGATGGGTCTGGTGCGTGGGTTGGCTGCATGAGTGGTGAAGCAAGTCCAAAATGTAAGTCTGGTCAATCTAGCGATTCGTGTAACCTAAATTGAACGGCGACGGGAGGGTCTTTGCCTACACCATTTGAACGGTGAAGCACCGTTGTAGTGCGGATTGTGCCTGTGTTCCGTGGTACGGACAAGCTATTACACGTGTGATACTCCGTGGTCGCATTGATCAAAAGTTTTGTTCGTTCGATCGCACGAAATTGGACAACTCGCAAAGAACGAAGTAGGCCGAGCCATATTTTGGCCTTTTTAGTCAATTTTTTGGCATTTTTTAGTCTATAAAAAGGTGAAAAGAAAGAGAGAAATTTTTGCATTCGTGAAGGAACTTCTTATGCTACTACTGCGATTTCTATAGGGAATTTTATACACTGCTATTGCATTTTTCAAGAGGGATTTTCTATGCTTCTGTTTCACTTTTTGGAGTGAATTTTTTTGTTGTTGTTGACTTTTCAAAGAAGATTTTCTACGCTTTTATTTTGCTTTTCAAATGAGATTTTCTGAACTACAAGATGTTGACGTCTAGGAAACCCCTCCCCCTCCCAAAAAAAAAACCAAAAGAAAATTCAGAATCCCGAAGAGGCAATTTTGACCCTAACTGAGGCTAATTTTATAATATTTTCGAAGAAATTTTATCATCTCGAATGATATGGTGGTGAAGATTTTTGCTCCAAACAATTGAGCCTGCTCCCCTCCTTGTGGATACATTGCTATTTACGGGATAACTTTGTGGGCCAGCTTGCGACTTCCACCAATGACTTAGTTGACTGATATTCCGAAAGTTTTTGAAGTTAGTATCTCACATTTTCTTGTAGGACAACAAAAATCTTCATTGGGCTTATCACTTTTTTTCATAAAAAATGGGTTGAAATTGGTGCTAATAGATTCTAACATAGTTGGGAGGATTTGTAGTTGTGTGTCTTTCAGGGACAAGATATTGGATTTCCACACAAGGCATCATGTAAGAAACTAGTCTACAATATTATTCTTATAGCAATATGATTACAAATTTTACTAGAAACAAGGGAAATTATAGTGGCTGCCTATTTCTCTCTAGATCTTCGAAGATGAAATGCCAGAAATGCTCGCATTTTGGGATTTGAAGGAGATGCAGCTTGAGGTGGACTAAGTCTACAAATTTTTTGTCGAGGAATTTCTATTCATTTTTGGACTCTCCTTCTAACTTGGGCAATCTTCTACAGTGATGTTAAAGAAATCTGAGAAGAGGACCTCAAGCTGGCTCTTTTGACACCATCAACGCATCTCCCAACTTGTAGTGATTACGAGATACTTCCTCTAAAGAAGTGCAAGTGGAGCAAAGAGGTAGCTAAGTTTATAACTAGTTCTTCAAAGATTAGTTCTTCTAAGATTCACATCCAACATAAAGTATTAGCTCATTTGTGCACCATATCTATAGAGAACAATGTGTTTGTGAGTTTGTCTTACATTTCATTATTACATAACTCTTTTATCTGTTTGACATTGAATTCTTCGTTCTATATGGATAAAATGATGCAAGTCAAATAGGGCTTAGCCTTTCTATGAGAAAGTGGAACTCGCTAGGGCGAGTATAAGCACCGATATGATTTTGGAGCCATGGAAGTCATAACCTTAGAATCTCAACTGATAGACCGCGGGACAAAGTTTTCCACAATGAGCACTTCTCATTGAAACATTAGGATATAGAGAGCACTTAGGAAGACTTGGTGGAGACACGAGGCAACCTCAACCTGAGTAACACGGGTGTGAAGGCTCTATGGTCGAATGGGTTATCCATAGAGGAGGACCATAAACTGAGGTCCAAGAAGAAATTTGGTGTTTCAGGAGTTAAGCTGAGAGGTATGGAGGGCCTCCAAAACTTGATTGAGTTCAAGACCATTATTTGGAATCGTGTTCATGAGACTCATGACGAGATGCTTGACGTTGAGGTGAAATAACAATGAAAATGGTCACCCCAACCAGGGTTTATATGACCCTCGTTCAGATTCTGACGATGATGATATCATGAGCGAGTTAAAGAAGGTTTCATTTAACATGAGGTGGAGGAGAATATTGGTGTTGAGTAGTGCTTTTCTTTTCTCACTACAAAGTTTTTTCATTTTAACATCTGCCAAGTTCAACCCTAGTATGGTGATAATCCAACATAAAATAATTCTAACTTCAGATTTGAGTTGGAACTATGGTCTACACAAAAATGGAGGTCGAAAATGTAATTCGTGTCGAAAGTGTTCGACGTAAAATATTTACGTTGACATTAGCATCAGACATGGTAAATCAGCTTTGATGTGCTCCACATCGATGCAAATGTGAACTATAAAATTTGCATCCACATTTAGCAGATGTAATTTTGCATCATGTCTTGTGTTGACTATATCAACAGAAGAAATTATTTAGCATTAGAATTTATTGAAGCATGTCGCAAATTATTAAAGGTATTAACACAAGAAATGTCAGACACAAACCCAAGGCAAACCTATAGCAAATTTTTTAAAAAATATGAAAGAACAATAATTTTTTTTACAACCCGCACATAACGAATGCTAATTTTATAAACATTTACTTATCCGCTTGCGCAGCACAATCTATCGAACAAACTAGTACCAACAAT